ATTATATATATATATATATATATATATATATATATATAACCTTTTTTTTAATATATTACGACCCTGACTTTTTATTTAATTAAATTGTTTTTAGAAAATGTCCTGTTGGTTGAGGGAACAGACTTTGTTGCTGGCAGAAGATTACATCAGCTTCTGCAGTGGGATCCAACAGACGCCTCCCAGCGAGTCAGCAGAGGCCATGAGATACCTGGCCAAAGAGATGGAACAGCAGCACAGAACCAAATTCAGATCCCTCTCCCAGGAGTTCCTGGACACCTGCGGATCAGATCCCAGCAAGTGTCTGCAGCGCGTCATGAGGGAACTGGTGGGAGATGGGAAACTGAACTGGGGGAGGGTGGTTTCCATCTTTACTTTCACTGGAGTGCTGGCCAGTGAGCTACTGTCCAGGGGAGAGAATTCCGACTGCTCCCGGAGATTGGCTGAGACCATTGCTGACTACCTTGGAGGGGAAAAACAGGACTGGCTGGTGGAAAACGGAGGCTGGGTAAGCATTAACAGTGTAGACTGGGACAGAGACCTTTATGCTGGTAAACGATGGTTTTAAAACCATTATATTTTTGTTTGTGCAGTAGAGCCTTGACGTGTAGTTAGTAGGAGAACCCTGTGTAATTGTCAAGTTTCAACTTAGGCATTTAGTGAGGTTTTTTTTTTCTAAATCAGTTCTGCTTAAAGTGAAACTGCGTGGGTGCTCAAAGTGCATTGTGTTTGATCTTTCATGTGTGCTCTCAGAAAACCAGCCTGTTTTTGTACAGTGTTCGATACCACAATCTCTTTGAGTCTTTCCTACCTGTATACTTCTATGTGCACATTTTAAACTGTAATTGGAAGGTACTGCAGTGATATGCCGGTCTAGTTTTAGGAGTAGTGCAGCGTATGCCTTGTGGCTGCCCTGTTTTTGTCAATTAGAGAGTGACGCAAGCCAAAGAATCCTGGGAATGCTTGTGGGGAAGCAGAACTGCTCTTTAAAACACTTTTAAACAGGCTCTCAAATGTCTCACCAAGGACTTTTTCTGTGTGGGCGATTAGGCGTCCAGTACTTCAGACTCCCAGGCACTGACCTATGAAAACAATACTTGTTCCAACTCTAAATAACTTCAATAACCCCAGGAGATGTTGTTTATCTATGCAGACTGATATATGCTGTAATTACACAGATGATTCTGAGGAACAAGTTAGTCAACACAGTCAAATGCAAATGATTTACCCTTAACTCCCACAGAAATGCTTCTGTTTAAAAAAAATCATGTCTAATGAATGTACTTTCAATGGCTTAAAAAAAGACCATGCTCTTAAAGTCATGGTGAAAACAAAGTAGTGACAGATCTTTTCTTCCTTATTGTGAAACAGATTACCGAAAAAGAAAAAAAATGGACTTGGATCTATCGATCAGTTGTTGAATGGATGAAGCATGAATGCAAGCTTGCAGTTGATTGTAAGAAAGGGGCAGTGTTTACGTGGAGTTCGAGCTACAACATTTTAATTACGAATTAGGTAAAAAAAATAATAAATAGATAGATAAATAAATAACCATATGCAGGGATGAATTGTTCAAAATCAGAGCAATAACATGGATTTAGAAAATAGACAGGGTGAATTTTCATTTCAAGACAACTTTAAAAGAGTAGTTGAGCTGCAAATCCTCATTTTCACAAACCTGCTGATCTTTTCCATAGAATTATATAGGGACCAAACTATCAAGCTTTAAAACGGCACCATAAAAGTAGTCTATACAACTTTTGCTTGTCATATTTCAAAACCGTAGCCATATAAAGTTAATAATATATAAGAACTAATGGTCACACTTTATGTTAAGGTCCGATTCTTGCTATTAACAAACCATTAACTATGACTTTTGCCTCAATAAACTCATAATTTGCTATTAATAATTAGTAAGGTAGTTGTTAAGTTTAGGTATTGGATAGGATTAGGGATGTAGAAATACGGTCATGTAGAATAAATGTTTTATAAGTACTAATAGCCTAAACAGCCAATATGTTAATAATAGGCATGCTTATAAGCAACTAGTTAATAGTGAGAATTGGTCCTTATATTAAAGTGTTACCGAACTAATAGTGTTTGGCATTAGACGTGCCCTATTTGAATGTGTGTGAATGAGAGCTTTGGGAAAGAGGAAGATTGTTAGTAAATAATGACTAAAATTTCAGTCTGTTCCTCACAGAAAGCTTTTGTATGACTTCAGAAGACTTGGAATATCATGCACACGTCATATGGAGTACATTGTCCACTCTCTTTCACTTTTGTTCTATGGAAAAGAGTACCTACTGCACTTCTTCTTTTGTGTTCCGCGATGGAAAGTCACACAGATTTGGAACGTCATGAGGGCGAGTAAATAATGGCATAAAGGATTAATCAGCCTCGAAACCAATTTCATGTTGGTCTAATCTACTCTTTTTAAACGTCACTAGTGGTGTCATAGTGAAGTCGTAAATCTTGCAACTGCTGGCTTAAGGCAAACGGCAGCTTGTATTTGCATGAATGAAGAGTTTGAGAGGCCTGGACTGGCCCCTTCTGTCTCTCTTCCCTATTTTCTCTTTCTCTTTTATTTGGCAGCTGTTGAAAGCAGAGCCGAAGGCCACTCAGCCATTTAGTCTATTGTGTTTACCATACGGTTGATCTCCATTGCTTCACTCAGAGTTTGTGCAGCATATGATTGTGAGCTACTGCACCTGGACTCACTCTGACCAGTACAGCAGGTGTCTGTCTGAAGACAGCTGCTCTGCCCGACTCCTCAAGCCTTCTGCTGTTTGTTCGGGTCCTCAGGCACAAACATCATTTGCCTGTGCTTTTGCCTTCTGCTTCTGAAACGGTCATATCTACATTTAACCCTTGAAATCAGTTAGCTTCTGAATCCGGCACACTACGGTTTCTAACACTCTAAATGGTGTTGCAGGCTAGATTCGAACCTGCATCTCTCACATGAGCACTAAAACTTAAAGGGGTCATGACATGGATTATTTTTATTACTTTAAATATGTTTCTTGAGGTTCACTTATAATGTTAATAGTGATTTTTTTTTCCTGAAATTATCTCTAAGGAGGCTGCTTCTTTAAGGCTTCTCAGTAAGTGATTGGGCTAACGTCCTTGCATAGGGAAATTATCAACACCTATTTCCAGACAAAGCATTATGAAATTGTTTACTTACAGTTTGCGATGCAGCTGCTGTCAGATCTAATACAGTTAGCTGCTGCTTCTTTCGACAGAAGTTTCTTTGCGAACTCTTACAAAACTATCTGCAGTCAAATGCTCTGAACAAACCTAAAATCCTTTGACGTGATCCAAGATGCCATTTAAAAATAAATTATCCACTTGTTCCTGATGCTGGGATCCTTCTGAAGGCTGTACAGAGAGACAAACAGACAGTTTTAATAGGACACGTTAAAGTGAGCGTTCCTTTACTCTTCCATTTGTCCTGTTGTCGGGAGTAACTACAGTGCATGGAGTAGGCCTATGTCAGGCATCTCTGTACTATACACAGTGTAAACTGCCTCCGTGTTTATAATAAGTTCAATCCAAGAATTGTACAACACGCATTACTGGATAAAACAGTTCTAATTATATGTACTATATTTGTTATTAGATAGAACAGCTTATCAAAAATATTCAGAATTAACTTTGGAATTTATTATTCAATTTGGCCAAAGCAATATATGCGGTCTTGGTATGAAGTATGTGAGTATGGAGCATGTGCATTATTCACTGCTCCACAGCATTAAAATAATGTTAAAGATGTATGTGCCGTTCCGGATGAGTATATAGGCTGTGCTATTATGTAACATCTGCACATTGTTGAGATTTTAGCTTCTTTGGCCAGTGAGGTTCAAAATACTGCTCTAACTGTATCATATGGATGTGGGAAGCGAAATGTGAATCTTATCCTGATCTGTCCTGTCTTTTGCAGGAGGGTTTCTGCACGTTTTTCCACAACGCAAGACAGCTGAACCAAGAGTCCTCGATGAAGACAGCACTGTTTGCAGCAGCAGGAGTGGGTTTAGCTGGTCTAACCTTTCTCTTAGTACGCTGATGATTTTAGGATTTCTCTCTCTCTCTCTTTCACACACAGCACACCTGCTTTCTGTCATATGGCTAAGGTACATTGGGGCCTTCTGAAACCTAAAATGATAAATGCAGTTAGATTTTACAAACATGCATGATGGTTAAGTTTTCTCTTTCTTGGGGGTATTCCAGAAAGCAGGGTTAACTTACTGTCATATAAACCCCAAACTGTGGGTTGATTTAACCCAAATCTTTATTACTTGAGGTTATCAGTTCCAAAAACACATCTGTAAGTTCAGTCATCTCATCATTTAGGTCACCCTCATTTAGGGTATTAACCAAGCGGCAACCTCCCGCTCTCTCTGGTGAAGCCAACAAGGAAGTGACTTAAACTGTAATTCATCAACTGGCCGCTAGAGGCTGGCTGCAAAAGGGAGTCAATCCCATAGACTCCCCATGTTAAAATGCCCAACTTTACAGCAGAGAAAGTGGATCTCGTGGGCCAGATTTGAGGATCCCTGGTCTATGGTATAAACCCCGCATTGTTACAAAAATTGTTCAAAGTGAAAAAAATCACATTAGAATTTTACGACTAGATGCTTAGCAACAGATAACCAGTTGTGTGCCTCATATTCACATGCTTTCACAAAAGCATCACAAAAACGCCGTTTCAGTGTTTGATGGGGAAAATGTCAGTTGGAGTTAAGAAGAGACTGTTTTATTCTTACCTTTATATTCCATTCCATTATATTCCAAAAATATCATTTGGCAATATACTGTATATAGGGATGCTATGCAATGCTAGAGCGTTCATGTTAATAGGTCACATGCTCTGTTCGTTTAGTTAATGACACTGACAGTGCAAATTAACCCAGTGTGTTAACCCAGGGCTCGGGAATGTAGAGGGTGAAACGTCAAAGTATAAATACCCAGGAGTAATTGCTATCGCTACGTACAGAATGAGAATTGTAAAACGTGAAGCAAGATAACCTAGGATACCATTTACTCTAGGTTTAGAATGACCCAGGGTTAACTATTTCAAGTGTGAAAAGCTGTTAGTAGTGTCCCAGTTCGAAGGATGCAGCCCTTGAATTGGGACACATCTTGAGAGACCCAGCTGAGGAATCACTATAGAAACGGAAATGGATGAATATCTCTGAAGTAAACTAACCCTGAAACTCTGAAGCAGGTTATGTTCAGAGCATGTGTTTCTTATGGCTAATAGCATACCCTGAAAGTTACCTCCATTTTTGGAACCGAAAGATGAGGTTATCCGCTTACCTATCCGTAAACTTGCATATGTGGCATAACCTACTTTCTGGAATTCCCCCCAGGTCAACATGTGTTTACATTGGTGAGATCATATGGAGATCATATATGTTTTTTTTTTTCACAGTCCAAAGTACGCACAAAACATACTCAAGTATGCAAAGGCAGACACAAATGCTTGACCAACGCATTGTGCAAGTGGACAGTCTTTCAACACACACACACACACACATATGCGTTGGTCAAGCATTTGTGTCTGCCTTTGCATACTTGAGTATGTTTTGTGCAAACTTTGGACTTTGAAAAAAAAAATCCCCTCTTAAACACAAACAAATCTCTTCCACTGAAGAGAAACTGGATACCATTTCGCTGAAATCATATTTCCAAACATCCAAACATGTTGTGAACCCATCTGCAGCACACAAGCTGACAGAGTCCAATTCTGGTGAGTCTTTAGCGTACCAGCTGCAATCGTACACAAAATGCTCTGAAAGAGAAGCCAGTGCTGGTAGCAGATGTGAGACAGTCTGGAAGAATGCAGCATTCCAGTGGAAAAAGTTATTGCTCCGCTTGTTTGGGAGTCTTAAAAGATTTCTCAGTTAAGTTCATTATCAACTTTGTCTCTGATGCTTCTCCTACAATTCATTCACAATATACAGCCACAAAATAAATGTGGATGTCAGATTATTTGGTCTTTGGAAGAACCAAACATTTGAAAATAAATGTTTGAGTTAATATTGAGATCTATATTCTTTTGAATTGTAGACTTTGATATCTTGGCAAGCCTGTGGAGAGATGAAACCTAGCTTAGATTTTTTTCTGAAAGAGACTCATGTGAGACCTTGTTCTTCAGAAGGAGCATCTGGGAAGCAGGTGACTTACACTTGCTTCCCCATTTGCTCTCCATATGATCTCACCACTTTCTAGGTCAGGGACGACATTATTTCATATAGGGCTGATCAATGAAGGTCAGGAATGTTGAGAGCTCATTGTGTGCAAAAATTTATCTGCCAACAGAGCAACAAACTGACTACAATCATGCAGTGCCATTGTTACAATCAAGATGACATGTTTTCTCTTTCTGCTCTTTTAAACCCAGCTGTGTTGGTTTCCAGTACAACTGACTCAGCAGAGCATTCCAGCGCTTCCATTTACCAAATGCTGACATTACAAAATAGAAATACAGAAACAAATGTTCTCTACTATGAACAGTTAAAGACTGTTTTACCCAAGACAAAGAGTCTAATTTATAAAATGTCGCATAGAAACTGTCCTACATGTGATCTAAAATCATTTCTCATATGTGCGCATTTCCAAATACCTGCAGTACTCTGACCCTGCCACAAGGAAATGTGCGTACACCTGCTCAGAACCTGACGTAGCCCTAAGCACTCCATGTTCAAAAACGTTTTTATAAATCTGAACATTGGCGTGGATTTCAGCATACTCTACAGTAGGGCTGTCAAAATGGCAGAAAAACTAAATTCGAATTTTGTACTTAAATATTATCAAAATTCGAATTATATTCGAATTTAAAATGCATAATTTCAGTTAGGGTGAAGAAAAGCTTTTGGCT